GTAGCGCCAGCTACATATTTAAGTAGCGATACGAGGTTTTGCCACTACAGCGCTACCGCTACATTTATAGATAAAGCTTTAGATTTTTCTTAATAGTATTAAATATTATTTGAAAACTAGCATGATACATACATAATATAAGTAGAGAATAAAACTGTACGAAAGAGTTCAGTGTAATGTTGCCAACCTCAGCCTGTTACTAGAGTCAACATATTATTTGTTACTTGTTAAGTTGTTACCAGTTACCACTTGCAGGTATTTTTTCATGTTTCAGTTTGCTTACAGTTATTTTTACACAGTTATTTTTACGTTTCACCTTCCGTACACGGATGTCTACTTTAATCAACCAATCTCTAAAATAATCTACATATATATACAAATAAGACTGATTTTTTATATGTGGATAATTTTTGAGATTGGCAGATTCAAGTACACATCCATGTAGGGAAAGTAAAACATAAAAATAATTGTAACTTTTATTTACTGTATCTAACCCGTACTAGTTCGGTTAGGTTAATTGCAATAAAGTTGCATTGACATGTTTTGAAAATGTATTATTATCATTAAATGTTTATGAGTAAATCCCAATAGCAGAACAATAAATAATTAGAGATTTCCAATAATTTTGGCCATTGTAGCGGCTAATGTAGCGGCGCTACATTTTACTGTAGCGGTAGCGGTAGCGCTCGCTACAATCTAGTGGGCGTAGCGGTAGCGGTAGCGCCCGCTACATTTAGAGCATGTAGCGGTAGCGCCGCTACATTTCAAAGTAGCGCTGCCCAGCTCTGGTTATTTGTAGCAATAACAAGCGATTGTCAATTCAATGAAATACATTTTGAAAGTAATTAATTGTTGCAGATAGCAACTCCCAAGTGTAAACTAACCTTGGAAGGCATTTTCCGTTACCACCTCATGTAGGTGCTTCTTCACGCATGGTGTTCCCACTTGCTGATGGAAGTTCATACCTTCCAAGAACTTCGTAAGCTGCTTGACGTCTTAAAATAAGTATATATACTGTATTTATGCGTCTTGCATGGAGTTGGCACCAGACTTTGGCAAGCTTCCATGGTCAATCAAAGGGGTGGCCCAGGGCAGGGTGGCCCAGTGGTTACAGTTCCGAGTACCAAGATTGGAGTAGAGAGGCACGGGTTCGATCCCAGCTCTGTGCGCCAGTTTCTGGTCAGAATCGGCAAGGAGGCCGGGCGGTTAAGGGGACCTGCTACCCTAAATCGAGGTAGCCTATAACTCCTACAGTTATTATCCGATCATCATGAAACTTCACATACATACGTAAAATGTAAAAATAATAACATTTTACTTCTATGAATTTATTAAGCAAAGCAGAATTGTAGCAGTGAGTTGCGAGTTCGAGACCTCAAAAATGCTGTGAATGTTCTGCAATGTTAAGAATCGGCGAAAGACCTACGGCCTACTAAACGCTGAAACCGCTATTATTATTATATAGGGGTTCGAAGACGTCCATGAAGCTAATAAGGTCGACTAGATCAACCCTTCAGTATATTATAATAATATATAATATAGCGGTTTCAGCGTTTATTAGGCCGTTGGCCTGTCGCCGATTCTTAACATCTCAGAACTTTCACAGTATTTTGCGGTCTCAAACTCGCAACTCACTGCGCCAATTCTGCTGTGCTTAACCGCCCGGCCTCCTTGCCGATTCTGACCAGAAACTGGCGCACAGAGCTGGGATCGAACTCGCGCCTCCCTGGGCCAATCCTGGTACTCTGAACTTTAACCTCTGGGCCACCCTGCCCTATTGCAGGGTTTCGTCATTAATGCACTCGTCGAAGGCTCAGCGGAACGCTGCGTATCCTTTGAAGACTTCCGTCCATTGTGAAAAATAATACGTGCTAATCTGCATAATACGAAAGGTTCATTCCAATTTACAAGAAGATGACACATTTTTACTTGCAAATGAATGATGAATGCCTTGTTTACATACTGTCTGTCATATGTGAAACCTGGAAGATGCATCAAGACATTTTTCAAAATTATCAATAGAAATGTTACGTATATAATTAAAATTCTAGTTGCTGCTTGCCAAACTAAACGAGAATCGAAATAATGTCGTTAAGACGTAACTAAACTGCTCTATGTAGATCGTGTCAATTTGAATCACTGCATTTCATGAACGCATGACCGTTAGAGTATCAATATCAGGATAGAGGATAATAGCATGAGTGGTCCAGTCTACTGAAGGCATGGCACACGAAGGTTGTCTACATTAATTTTGAAGCTTTCATAATGTTCAAACTTCAATAACAAATGTTCATGCAGTACTCGCGAGTATTCTCGTGTGTTGGGATTGGGAGTTTCGTCAGGTTACAAGGCCTTTCGTCGCTGTTTATTTGCTAGAGGAGATAGACGCATCCGCTTACAGGCTCGGCGTCGTTATCTGCAAGCGACGCGCGCAGTGACAGTAGCGCCGGCTGCGCGAGTTGACGAAGAAGTGAGCTATTGTGTCCCGAAATTTTGCCTTTGATATCTACATTTGTTAGATACTTTAGATATACCTAATTTCTGTTCTTATTGAATATCGATTCAATTAGGAGATTAAGACACGAAAATAAACGATGAAACTTTGATGTCGAAAGTAGATTTACGAAAGCCGTCAAAAACGAAAACATATAGAATAGAATAGAAGTGTCGGCACTGAAGAAATAGGCCCATGGCCTGTTGCCGATTCTTGAATTTTTCGTGACTTGATTTACAAGGGATCCGGCCTTTGGAACCCGATCTTTCCGTAACTGACGATTGATTGAGATAGCTGCTGGACTTATTGCCTGCTCCGTAAGTTGCTAGGCATTTTAAGACTGAACATATGCTCCTGCATAGCTTCGTCTAGTCTGTTTTTGAAGATGTTCATACTTGCAGCGTCAACGATGCTATCAAGGAGGCTGTTCCACATGTCGGTGACTCAAAGCGAGAAGAAATGTTATCGCATGGATGTGTTACAACGCAGTTTTTTTAGTTTATAGCCGTGGCCCCTGGTGTTGGTTCTTGTTTTAAATTCTGGTAATCCTTCTGGGACCTTGTACAAGCCATGAGTATACTTGTATGCTTCAATGAGTTCCCCACGCAGACGTCGATAACTGAGGCTTGGAAGCTTCATAATCTTTAATCTTTCCTCATAGGACTTGCCTTTCAGGCCCGGAATTATCCTTGTTGCGCGTCTTTGAACACTCTATTAAATTTTTGTCCTTTTCAAGTTTCGGTGACCACACGACGTTTCCAAACCCTAGGTTCGGGCGCACGACAGCAACAAACAATTGCTTCATCGCTTCTGCATCTAGGAACTCGAAAGAGCGTCTGATCACTCCAAGTCGTTTATTGGCTTTGTTAACTTGACCTTCAATATGCTTAGAAAATTTCAACTCATTGTCGATATTAACTCCTAAATCTTTTTCCACTGTCGACTTCGACAATCACTCTGTCGTTGCAACCGTGTTTTCTCATACTGTAATCTTGCTGTTCATTATTCTTGCCACGGTGGATAACTTTACGTTTGTCAGCGTTAAAACGCAGCTGCCACTTATCAGCCCAGTCAACCAGCCTGTCAAGATCACCTTGCAACTGTACTTTTTGCGACGTATTCTTCACCGTATTATAAATTTTTGTGTCGTCAGCATACATCGAGCGCACGCTAGACACAGCTTCTGGCAGATCGTTTATAAACGCAACGAATAAAACAGGCCCGAGAACGCTTCCTTGTGGCACGCCGCTGCGCACTGAAGCCCAGTCTGATACGGACCCATTAATACTGACAAGTTGTCGCCTCCCTACTAGAAAATCTCTGATCCATTTGAGTACATTACTCTTAATTCCCAAAGACTTCAATTTCCGCAACAACCGCTCATGTGGGACACTGTCAAATGTCTTGGCAAAATCGAGGTACACTGCATCTACTGGCTCCCTTTCGTCCAGCAGGCGGGTCCATTCGTTCAGAGTAGACAAGATGTTAGTGGTGCAGGATCTCCCGGCAATAAAGGATTCCTTAAAGGCAATAAATATGAACTCCAGGATTCGAACAACTGCCAATGGTTTAAGTAACATGAGTCACGGTAATCAAAGGTAAACTTAAGTATTACAATTATTGGAAGGACACATCGATACAATTTCATTTCTCTCGCAAGTCTATCCGGGTGAGAGTGATTAACTGTTTCCTATAATGAATTTGATCAGGACATTATACACCACAATTATAGTTCCATTTGTTGCCCAAATTAGGCGCTTGACAAATTCTTATCTGCCAAGTTTCAAGTAATAACGCAATATAATGTGGAATTTAACAAGCAGCATACCAACTCATTTGTTCACTACTCGATGTATCCTACGCATAAAGCTCGCGGCCCCTGAAGATAGCCTGTAAGATGAACTGAAAATTTAGCAATGGTATTTTCCAGCATCATGTCACAACAATTTCGGTATATGAATAAAAACAATAAAAGTTATCATAATCTGTTTTCGTTCCACCCTAAGCTACACATTACATGATCGCGAATTTTGAGAGCCTTGCCGTGGGTATGCACAATCACCCAGCCTTAACATCCCCCTCTCCCGCCCCACCTCAGACCACAGCTAGTAAGATGTAGTGGAGTCCAAGTTATCCTACCGGATATGGCCACGAACTTGGGAGTTCATGCACTGTGATTTCTTATTTCAAGTTTGACCTGAAATATTACACAGTGATGATTCTGGAAACTGAAACCGTTTAAGCGCCGCACTGCTTGTGAGTACCTATCAACGGCACCATCAGGAGAGTGGATAGTGGCACGAGTGATCCAGTTCACTGACGCATGGAACATAAAAGATAGTGAAACGTTCATATTGTTCCCCCTTCAATGACAATTATTCATCTAGCACTCGTGTATATTCTCGTGTGTTATGATTGGTAGTGTCCTCACCTAACGTCTTCCATCGCTGTTCATATGCCAGAGGAGATGGCAGCATCCGTTTGCTGGCTGGGCTTATCTACAGACGAGTCGCTCAGTGCCACAGTAGCGTCGGCTGCGCGAGTTAATGAAAAACTGCCGCATTTTACTCAAAACTTCCAAGGTTGATATATATCTAAGTAATTTGAAACCCATAATTAACTAATTTCCCATCTTATTGCCAGTCAGGTCTAGGAGATTGAAAGGAGATTGAATAGGTATAGGAGATTGAAATAGTAAAATAAACAATGGAATTAAATGACTAAAATGGATGCACGAAAGCCGTGTAAAGCAAGTAAATGGTAGAAGCCCAACAACAGCAGCCGATTATGTAAGTAACTTGAGTCTCAGCACTCGAATGTGGACTGAAGTGTTAGAATATTAGGATGCAAATGGAAGAAACCAATTGAAACGATGATACTTCTCGATCAAGTCTAGTTGCTTGAGCGTGGCTAACTGTATACAATGATGACGTTGTTGACGAAATTATACTCAACAACTCATTGAACTTCAAGTTGTTGCCCTAATAATGCGCTTGACTAATTGACAATTTTGCAAATCTTATTATAGTAGCTAAGACTTAAGCTATATATAGTATCAGGCCATACAGCCAAGAACATAACGGAGTCTGAAGATTTGGAGAGGTGGCTAAGACGCTCATTCATGCAGACATGATAATAGCGGTTATAATAATATCAGTTTCAGCGTTTAGTAGGCCGTAGGCCTGTCGCCGATTCTCAACACCACAGAACATTCACAGCTTGTTGCGGTCTCGAACTCACAACTCACTAGTTCAAATTCTGCTGTGCTTAACCGCCCGGCCTCCTCGCCAATTCTGACCAGAAACTGGCGCACAGAGCTGGGATCGAACCCGCGCCTCTCTGCTCCAGTCTTAGTACTCTGAACTGTAACCACTGGGCCACCCTGAGAAAAAGTAGGAAAAACTAACAATTAGGGAAATCAGGAAACGCACCTGAGCCGATTCAAATTGCTCCAGATGGAGGAGATCAAACGAATAATGAATTTTTTGCTCGTTCGATCAACGAAAATATATAGATTTTTTAAGCGCATGTCAGACAAGATAATACAGCTCTAAAATTCCTTAGATTTAGTGAAGCTTATTTTCATTTGCAATTGTTTGTGCGTTGTAAGCCTGATGTTGCATATACATACACACAAATGCCCGCATATTGCATGATTTTATATAATTGGTTTGTGAAGGTACATTAAGGCCTGAGCTATGCTGAATTAATTTCTCTGTATCGATTATCGGTTATCTTGTGGGGTTTAAATACTAATACAATCTACAATAATTTATATAATAGCTCATTTTTGAAGTCAATTCTAATATTATTGGTTGCCGCTCTAAATCCTCCTCCGCTTACTTGAGCGTTAATATTCGGTCAAATGCGATCTCCAGCCTCCCACCAACTTCATGAATTTAAATGGTCTGTTTTGTCTTGATCGAATGGCTACATATTGGATAAGAAGTAACTTGTGATGGTCCAAACATGCATCAACATGGCAACTTTTTTACTTACAGACCATCAGACATCATCGGGTGAACTGCACTTTTTGAGCTCGGTTCTTCAAAACAGTGAAAAGTTTGAAGATATTCAACAAACTTGGTGTTTCAGGGTTGAGGATTATGGCGCGGAGTACGAAAAGGTTCGATGTTACCGATTTGATGCAGGAGATTGATGTAGCTATGAGCGCCCTGAGTTTGTTGATGCAAGATAGTGATGATCCCGACGATAGCGATGATACAGACGATAGTGGCGATACCGACGATAGTGACGATAGTGACGATAGCGATGATACAGACGATAGTGGCGATACCGACGATAGTGATGATTACGACGATAGCGACGATAGCGATGACAGCGATGATGAAATGCAACTCATCTTTAGCACAAAATTGCGAAGACTAATGCGTCATGTGATCAAGAATTCTGACGGTAACGGCGAAGATGTTGTATCCGTGAACTTGAATTACGCATGGTTCTTCGAAGAAGACAATGGATCATGGGTAAAGATCGGCTCCAAAGGTGATTCCAACGTCACAAGTGCAATCGAAAAACATTATCAGACACGTCCAACTACAAAATTCAGGTTCACTGCAGGAAACTATTCGTACGTTCTAGATTTCACCAACATGACTCAAACCAACACCACGACCGGCAGAGTGCGTAAGGTATATCGACACGAGAACATCACATCCATGCCGGGTGCTACTTCTGACTTGGCTAGTGCCGCACCAGATCAAAAAATCACCGATATCCCCAAAGGACAAGCGTATTCTGTGACTACCCTTAGACCAAACCAAGCTGAGTACGACCAAATTCTATCTTTGCTGAAGTCCCATATTCCAGACTGTAACCCCATCACCATCAATAAAATCCATAACCCGTACCTAAAAAGAGCATTTTATAACAACAAGGCTAAATTAGAGAATCGATTCCCGGATGTCATGTACAAGGATGAGTGGCTCTTCCACGGGACAGACTCCGCCAACGTCAAACCAATTCTAGAAGATAATTTTGACTGGAGACTTCATGGAACTAATGTTGGACAACTTTATGGACAGGGCGCGTACTTCTCCAACTAGTAAGTTAATTTCTGCCATATGGCGTCACAATAGAATTTTTTGTATTCAAGAAATTTCTAATTGAAACTAAGTTCTTCATAGAAGTTGAATGTCATCGATACCACCTTTCTTGAGGCCCAGAGATAGTTCCCGTACCATGATGTCATAATTTTTCAAAACCTCTTCACTGCTCTAACGCGAGTCTGGGCGTATAGAATATAGATCATAACTCCTTCAAATAACATAAAACTTCTGTGTTCGGTTAATTGGAAGACATCTCTGAAAACCTCCAGTTTCGAATGATCGTGCCTGGTACTCGATAAAATGTTGCTACACATGATAATATGGAGAATAACCTCTGTTTGATTTGATCTTACTATGTAGAATGTTTTGTGCCGAATTATACTTGTAAATGACCACTAATATAAAATTATTGATGTATGAAGTTTTGTATGACTTTGAAAGATCTACTTAAAAATTAATTCTATCACAACAGCGCTGCAGTGTCTCGCCAGTACGGAAACGCCATCTTCATCTGCAAGGTGCTGGTGGGCCTCATCGCGCGTGGCGACAGCACAACTGTCAGACCTCCTACAGACAAGTTCGTCCAAA